CCTCCAGAGGGAGAAATGAACCAAGCTTGACCCCACAGAGCCAGCAGGCACACCTAGCAATGTGCCAACACGCACACACCGTACGTGGCTCTGTGGGAGCAGAGACCTAAACCAAAGAAAAGGGAGCTCCTTTTGTGGCTGCCCCTGTGTATTTGAGCCGGATACTATGATCTGAGGCATGGGAGCCACAGAGGCCCTTTGAAATCTCCAGCAGCTGCTCCCTCTGGGAGTCTGAGCTTGCCACCCTGGCCTTTGCAGGCTACTTGACTTTTTTTCTTTTAAGCATGCTGCCTACCAGTTTGCGTAGAGATCACCAGATGAAGAAGGCAGCCTGGCTGAGCCTTTGCTAGGTCGTTCGTGGACCTGACGTCCTTATTATAGGGACCAGGATGCTCCCTCATGACAGCTGCAATCCTGTGGGGCTCTGGAGCAGGGGAGGCGGCAGCTGGCCATGGAGTGTTGGGTGTGTGCCCCCCAGAGCAGCGTGCTGTCCTGAACTTGTCTGGGAAATGGGCCTCCCGAAGAGACAGGTCCAGGCATTACCGTATCTCCTCCAGTGCCCTTTCCTACCCACCTGCTCCTGTGACAATAGCCTTTAACCAGGAATCAACCAGATGAAAAAAGAAGGAAAAAGAGAGAGAGAAGAAGGCAACAGAGGCTCTGCCTTCCCTTCAGACACCTGTGGCCCGCAAGATGGTGACTTCCTCAACCGTTCCAAACACTTGGCAACCCATAATGGCCAACACTCAGGTGCCCCTCAATTTTCCACATGTCAGAAGTCCTCGGTTTCACGGATAACTTAGGAATGAAGAGCCAGGGCCTTATTTTTGAGGGCCTTAAAAATATCAGTGGAATTCCAAGCTGAATATTGGGGACACTGATGGAAAAAGAAAATAACCTTCTCTCCAAAAAACAAGAGAGGCTTTTAGCTTTAGGAGAGAAATTTCATATGCCTTGTTCTGGTTCTGAGAAAAGGAGGGGAAGCAGATCCCAAATTTTGCTGCCTGCCTCCTTCATTCCTTGTTGATTCAAACATTGGCCCCTGTATGTTAATTTTCAGTCCCTGCTGCTTTAAGCTTTTTGCATCCTCAATGCATCAGCACCCCAACACCCCCTAGCCAGGGAAAACTCTAAGAATAAACTGCATTTAAATAATATTTTAAGTCATTAATCTTTATTTTTTAATAAAAATGAGCTCTTAGTTAAAAACTCTAAGAATAAACTGCATTTAAATAATATTTTAAGTCATTAATCTTTATTTTTTAATAAAAATGAGCTCTTAGTTAAAACAGCTGAAGTTATTAATTAACTAAGGAGGCAGGCCTTCTCAAAGGGTCCATAAACCCATCTTTGTTGAACACCCACTGTGATCAGCCCTGCCTGTGCTGGAAGAGGCTGAGGGAAGATTTGTAGACCTCAAGGAGATGGCAAGCTGCTGGGACGTCCGTAAACAGACGTGTAAACAGATGTCAGGCCTGGATGGAAAAGGCTTCTCCCAGCTCTGTGGCCTGTCTGGCTGGGTGTGTACAACACTGCAAGCAACCTGTGTGTGTGTTTGTGTCTTGCTTCAGATCCCTGGACGTTTAGGAACCTTTGTAAATAACTTCTCAGAGCCTGTGTAATATGGCAGGTGGGCTCTGTGACTTATAAGTCTGCCTTCCCACTCCCTGTCTCTGAAAATACTTTAGCAAGCTGGCTGGGTCGACACTAAGCCAGATGGCCACAGAGGGTGTGAGGATAGGCAGGCATGGGAGATGGGGAGGGGGAGGAAAATTCTTTGCCTGTCTCTGCCCCCCAGTGCTGGTGGGGCGGGGTGGGGAGGGCAGATTCCTGTCTAATCAATCATCCTCTAATCAATCATGGCCTCTGTGCCCTCAAACCAAGCTTTTCTCAGTTCTGTGTCTATTCCTTCCTCCAGTCTCTGACTGGACAATCTTGGTGTAATGTGAGCATAATGAGCCTGTGCTTGCAAAGGGCTTGGCTTATAAAAGCCTCACAAATGCTTTGGGTTATGTTCTCATTGAAATGAACAAGGCTAAAGTGGAGAGTCACTGTAGCATTCCAGACATAGGTGAATTAGGGGTCCCCAAGGTCCCTGGCTTGGTGCTGGTGGAGAAGAAGTCCAAAGGATTAGAAAGGAGACCTCTTTGGGGTTTGGGGAGGGCCATGAGTTATGGACCTAGGATGTCAGCGAAGGGAGCAGCGCCAAATGCTTGTGAACCCCCTTGTCTGGAGAGAGCTGAGGTCTGTTCTGGCAACTGTCGTTTCCCTTCCCATGGGCTGCTCTGCAAAGGACCGGAAGGGGGTTCTTTTTAATTCCCACTTGCTAATGACTGCCAGTTTTGAAGGGCTGTCAGTGAGAGAGCAAAGTTACCACAAAGCTGTGTGCTTTTTGAGGGGTGTTTTTGCTGACGGTTGATGTCAGCCTTGCTTGATGTAAGCCTTCCCAGATTCCCTGCAAAGACTGTAAACAGTGAAGTGATGAAACAGGCGCAGGAGCCAGAACAGGGAGGAGGCCTAGTCACAAGGGAAGGCAGAGAAGCACCATCAAGAGCTGCAGGGAAATGGGAAACAAGGGCAGGAAGTTCTAGAAGGCGTTTCTGCTGCAGTGGAAGGAATACCTCCCAGAGGGGGCCCGAAGCCGCATAAATACAACAGCGGGCAGGCAGTGGTTCGGCTACCATCTGGGATGAGAAGGCGTGGCTGTTTAGGGTAGGATTCGGGTCAGACAGAGCGCAGAAGGACCCAGGAATCCTAGGCTGCCTCTCCCACGGCATTAGAATGGGAACCCGATGGTAATCCTAGTAACTATCCAGGCAAAGCCGATTGGTGACAGGAGAGCAGCCTAGGCCGCAAAGCAGGGCCGACTTCCCAGGGTACTAGGGAGGGGTCAGCCGGCCGCGTGCCCTGGGGGCCGGGAGCTGGGTCAGAAGCCGCCGTGGACGGGGTCTCGCCCCAGGCTCAGGGGCTTTGCCACTAGGGGGCTCTGTGACTTCAGTCGTGCCTTAAATATTGGCCCCTCCACCCGCAACTCGTCACCCAACTTGTAAAATTCAGAGAATTTCTCACCCCATCTATCACTGCAGCTGGTTGTAAGGATCAAATCGGATGACGATTGTGCCCTGATGTCCTCCCTCCCCGCAGTCACCTCGGAAACTCTGAGGTGAGGTGCGGACTTTGGTCTCTTGACCAAGTTCCCCAGTGAACCCGGTGGTAAACGCAGACCCACTACGGGAAAACAATACAAAATCATCCAAAGGTTCATTCGAAACTGTGTCTTCTGAGCATCCCTCTGTGCCAACCTACTGTGCTAGGGCCTTTTACAGAGAGGGCAAGACAGACATGTTCCCCAGCCTCAGAACTTCAACAGCGCGAAAGAGCTATTGAAGGATGAAAGGTGCAGCGCACCCTCCACAAGGAAAATGCCCAGCACGTGCAAAACACAAGGCACGTCCACCGGCCTCAGAGCTCCAGGAAGACTGCTGGAAGTGACGTGTAAGCCATAACCTGGAGGGCAGGCAGCACTCATGGCGATGATGGCAGCCTCTTTAATTTGGGGTCACCCGTGGCCCCTCCCCTACTGAGCCCACTCAGGCCTGCCTTCACTCGCCCAGGGCTCCTTGCCCCTCTGCCCCTTGGCTGCCCTGCGGATCGCAGTGGTCACGATGGCACAGCCTTTAGGAAATGAGGTGGCAGGTGCTATTGGGGCTGCTCCTGGGGGCATTGCCAGAGCCCCCGAGGCTCCAGCACATGCCCAGACGGGGGCCCAGCCCCCCTTCGTTTCTTCCAGCTCACCCCGTAATTGAAGAAGCGGGGTTTCTTAGCATTTACAGAATGTTGCTCATTCATCGGAGGAGGTGGGAGTAACAGTAGAAACATCTCTGAGTTCAAATCCCAGCTTCACTGCGGATTCTGGGTGCTGTCAAGCAACAGTCTTAAATTCTCTGAACCTCGGGCTCCTTGTCCATGAAAGTGATAGTTTAGACTGTGAAGTTATTGGATTGTTGTGAAGGTTGCCCCAAGACAAGATACCGCCCTTCATCACGTTAAAAAAGGGAACAAATTAAAACAGAGCTTCTACATCTAGTGTTACTGGCTTAACATATTTTTGGACTATAAAGTTTAGCTAATAGATAAACACAAGCAAACTGCTAAATGCATAGCTAAAGTTGAAAGAAAACAGGAAATTCCAAGGATCAAGCCCAAAAGAAAAAAGTTCAAATTAAGAGCTGAAATTGGATGGGTCAACCAATACAGAAGCTGGACGTTAGGAACCTCAAGTCTTGGGTGCAGGGGGAGACAAGGCTGTGGGTGGCACAAGGGGGCAGCTGGGCCAAAGACCCCCAGCCAAAGGCCCCTACCCAAGAAGTCCAGGAATCTGGGGGAAGATTCTTCTGGGTGAAGAAATACATTGCTTAGGTCTTATTTTGGGGGCACAGGATCCCAGCGAACAAGCACCAGTTTGCCTTCTGACATGTGACCTGCTCCACTTGGTCCCTTCCATGCCCTGGCAGGTCCTGGTGAGGCAGAGGTCTGTGACCAGCCCGTTTCCTTCCTCCTCTCTGCAGCCCCCCAGATGGGCTGGGGACAGAGCTGGGGATGGAGGCCACATTCCCTCCCCAGCCCTGGAGGAGAGGAATTCTGCTTCAGTCACCATAAGTCAGGGAACAGAAGGGTGCTGAGCTGGATGGAGCTACCAGCTCTGCTTTCCTCTTAGTGCTCCCCCGGGGTTTTGAGCCAGGTGCAGGCAGATCAGGCAGGGAGCTTGTGGGAGGTCATGAAACCTTACCCAGAGGTGTTGAGACATGTCACTTCCTCGGCCTCTTGACTCTTACCTCCACCCCCCACCTCCCCTTTCTCTGCATACTGTCAGGTCACCTGGAGCTCACGTGGGCTGACCTGCACCCGGGGGCAGGGAGGGGGGTGGGGACTGTAAATGAATGGGGCAGCTGGAGAGGGTGGGTGTGGCTCAGGGCCTGACGCCACTGGCTCCATCGCAGCCAGGTCGGCCGCCGGTGACAGAGATGCGCTGTGTGTTACAGAAGAGGAACTGCCTGGTGACGAAGAGGACATGCCGACCTTCCCGTGCACACAGGCAGGTAAGAACTCTGGGAGCTGCCCCGTCATCTCCCACTTCCCATCCCCGGGCTGATAACTTCTCTCTCTATATGGTTTCAAAACCCTGGCTGTCCTTTCCCCGCATGCCACCTGAGAGGGTGGAATTTCGTGGGTCTGCAGTACAGATGGAGCCCAAGTTTGATACAAGCGACATCTGCCTCCAGGGCTCCTCCTGAGACCATTCAGCGGCCTCTGCCCTCTCCTCCAGGGCCCGTCTGCTGGCCGGCCCAGACCTGTCCCCTTCATCACATCACATGCCGCCCAGTGGCTCATCCTTATCAGGCCCCCAGGACCCAGCTTGGCATCTGGTTAATCTGAGAAACCAGTGCCACTTGGACTGTTGCTTGGAGAAGGGCTTCTTGAGGGGCTTCAGGATAGATTAGAGCAGCTGTTCTCAACCTTGGCTGTACGCTATAATCAGCCAGGGATGCCTGAGTCCCACCCTCAGAACTTCTGTTTTCCTTTGGTCTGGAGTATGAATGGGGCATCAGAATTTTTAAATATTCCTGGTGCTCATAATGTGCAGCTGCAGTTGAATTCACCTTAGAAATCTCACCACTGGGGATATGACTCCATTTCTGCTGGTCACGGGCCGCCTATCAGCATAACCAGCAACACCTGCTCCCTCCTTCCTCCGTACCCGAGGCCCAACAGGTGGACTAGAACCCTTGGCTTGATTCTAAGAAGACCTGTTGGTTACTTGGAAAGTTTGGGGACTGGTGACCAACCTTCTGGTTTGCATGGGACTGAGGAGTTTCCCAGGATGTGTGACTTTTCAGTTTTAAAACTGAGATGGTCCTGGCAAACCATCCATCCTGCTTTGCATACTGAGACGTCCCCATAACACAAGACTTTTTGTGCTAAGGCCCAGAAAGTCCTAGGCAAACCGGGACCACTTGGTCACCCCAGGGTGAAACAGGGCTGGCTGCCCTGTGTCATGGACTGTCAGTAAGGCCAGTGCGTTGGGAAGTGGTGTTTCCCCACCCCATGGGCTGAATGATGACGCCCTGGGCAGAGGATGAAGGTGGCGACGGGTTGTTCTTTGAAGACCCTGAATCTGGTTGCTTCTAAATGCTCCAGGACCTAGGGAAAAGGCAGGATGGGTACAGATGAGGAAGGAGAACAATTCCCTTTCTGAGGCTGGTTCAAGATGTGATGAGACAGCTCAGAGCAGGAGCATGAACCTGACCCCTCAGACTCAGCCTCACCCCCTGCCCTTCTGTCCCTCAACAGGCCGGCCAGGCCTGCACTGCAGCCGCTGCCAGAAGAACCTGTCTTTGCACACATCCGTGCGGATTCTCTACCTCTTCCTGGCCCTGCTCCTGGTGGCCGTGGCTGTGCTGGCCTCTCTGGGTGAGTGCAGGCTCCCAGCACCGTCTGGCCAGTCCAGGGCTTCCCTCCCTGGCTGCAGGGGAGTTCCTGATCAGGGGTCCAGCACCAACACCTCCTACAAAGACAAATACAGATCTCTGTATCTCAGAGCCCAGAAACAGCATCTCTCTGCCTAGGGAATCTTAATGCCGCATTCGAACTGGAGAGACTGGCTCCTAATTCCTGCTCAATATTTGGCTGAGTGGCCATAAGCAAGGCCATTCTCCTCTCAGCACCTGCTTTCCTATTGGTAAAATGAGAGGACAGGAGGTTGGTAGTTCTGTTTCCTCTTCATGTCAGAATCACTTGGGAGCCTTAAAAATACCCATGCCTGGGGCCCCACCTTAGACAAATGGAGTTAATACAGCATTTTTAAGCTCCCCGGATGATCCACAGTTGGGATCACGGGACAGGGTGATTTCCAAGTCCCTTCTTTGGTCTTTGTGTTTCTCAAAGTAAAGTTGGATGCCTACCTGCATCAAGATTGTCCCCCAAGATTTGCTACAACGCAGATGCCCGAGTGCCACCCAGGCCTACTCAGTCAGAGCCTTGCAGGTGAGGCCTGGGGCCTGAGGTTGGGTGGGTCTCATGCACACCACAGTTTGTATGTCTATGGTGGCTGACCCAGGTGATGGCAGGTAACTCCTGCCTTGTGGATGCTAACAGTTTGTGACAAATCGATGAAAACAAATCTGACAGCTTCTCACTACCATACCATTCCATTCTTAGCTTCGGGTTTTAAGTTTCCTTTCTTTACTACTTGGTTCCCACTCTGGTTAGAGAGACTCAGTAACTGGCTTTCTTGGGCTTGAAGGCAAGAAGCCAGCATATTAGTGATTTGAATAGACCCTCTAGTCATCTTCCAGTAATCCTGAAGGTGGTAATTAATCCAACACAAGCCAAGTGCCTACTATGTGCCAGGTTGTGGGAACACTGAAATGAGTCTGTTACATTTCACCATCAAAGGGAGTGGTTCTCAACCTTGTCTGCACATTAGAATCCCTCAGAGAGCCCTGACACATACCAGTGCCAGAGTGCCTGGCTCCAGACGGGTGAAATCACCATCTCTGGGTAGGACCCAGGCCTTGATGGTGTTTACAGGACTCCAATGTGCAACCAGGTTGGAGGACTGTGGATTTCAAGAACTTCCCATGCCCATCCTTGAGCTCTGCCTCCCTCTGCTATATCACTGCATAGGGCTTGGCCTGTCGGAAAGTGGCCAAAATCCTGGCCCAGGGGAGGCAGGAGCTGCAGCCCCATAAATGAGGCAGCAAACTGGCTGCTGGGGAACTTCTGAAGGTTCCTGGTCCACCGTCCACCCTTTCAGGGCCCCAGCTCCCAGCACCCCTGGGAGCATCAGTAGAGCTCCAATAGCCACAAACCTGAGCCCGGAGAAGAGCATGGGCAGCAGGATGCCTCAGAGGGGACAGACAGTTATCAGGCACCCAGCATGTGCCAGGCACTATCGCCTACGTGATATCAGTGACTTGTCTCAACACTCCCCGAAATGGTAGGCCAGCCCCATTCCACGTATGGGGAAGAAGACCTGGGAAGGTGAACTGATTTGCCCTAAGATCCAGAAAAAAGGGGCAGAGGATCATAAGACTTGGGGTTGAGGAATGTGTTGGGGAATCAAGGGAGAACTCTAGGGTGTCCTCTGGTTTTCACCTCCAGCCTGATATCCCGAGTCCCTAGGACAGTGCTGGCACCATTATGTCCTGGTTGGTAGGCCTCAGTTACAACTGTTGAATGCATGACTAGATAGGTGAATTTATATGTGAATAGTCCTAGTTAACGCTTTGTGATCAAGACTGTGGCCAAAGTCCCGAGGGTCGGCTAAAATCAGTCTTCCTCTTAGTGGGCATGAAAACCTACTATATTCATATAATCTGGTATTTTTTTTTGCATGCCTGCATACTGTAGACCAAGAGCTGTACTAGGCCCTGGGCTTGCACTGCTTCATAAAACACAGGCTTTGTCTTTATGGAGTTTATAATCTAGAGCAAAGTTTGGGAAACTTTTTCTGTAAAGAGCTAGATAGTAAATATTTTAGGATTTGTGGGCCACATATGGTTTTTGTCAAAACCACTCTGTCGTCATAGAGCAAAAGAGGCGAGAGGCAGTGTGTAAATGAATGTGGATGGCTGTGTTCTAATAATACTGACATTGGGCTGGATTCAGCCTGCAGGTCTAATTTTCCAACCCCTGGTCTCAAGCAGTAATCTGTGAACTTTTTTGACTGTACCTCCCGTCAATAAAAAATTGATCTAAAATGCATATAAAAAATTAGATGGATAGATGGCTGGATAAAAAGATAAAATGAACAGATGTGCAATAAAGTTACGTATAGCAAAATGTCAATTGTAGAATCTAGGCAGTAGGGACATGGATATTCACTGTGCAAATCTTTTGATTATTCTATTTGAAAATTTTTGTAATTAAATGTTGTAAAAGAAAAAATTGATAAACTCATGCCTGCAAAATATCCCTATTTATTTAAAAATTATACATGTGTACTCTTTACTATATAGTATACATTATAAAACACAATTTTGAAAGGATGAGAAAGCATAAGGTCTTAAAAGTAAGGAAAACAGCCAAACAAATGAATATGGAATTACAAATTCATAAAATACACAATGAAGAAATCAGCTGGATAAATTATGAGTGATCCCCTGGCTATTGGCTTGAAGGTAGATTTTGTGAGGCATTAGAACAGAATCAAAGCATTCAATCTCTCTGCACCTCTGTTCCCCCATCTATTCAAAAGATCTTGATTGGCAGGAGGCTCCAATGGAATAGTGAATACCATAAAAAGTGCCAATCTAATGTAATGGCATATGGTAATTCCTAGGATCTCTCAACATGTCACTTATTAAATTAAATCACACTTAAATAAATCATCAATTGAGATACTAATTAAATCTCAAAAATAAATCATCAATTGAGATACTAATTAAATCTCAACAGCTCTGAGATGTACAATGTTAATTAAAACCCAGGGATTTTTTAAAAAATGGAATCATTGAATTTTGGAGCTGACCTTGCTTCATACTTTAATTTTGTAGATAATTCAGCTGAGCTTCAGAAAGATCAACTGACTTGCTCAAAGTCACCCAACGAATTTGAAGCAAATCTGGGCTAGAAGTTGTATTATTGAACTCTCTTGGTAGGGCTAATTACGTCCCCTGACACTTTCATAGGATCTGTGGGAAACATCTTTACCTACCATCCAATCCATGGCCTTCTCTTACCCAGGCCTAGCTAGGCACCATGGGGAAATCCAGGGACCCTGCCACTGCCCAGATGTGCTCCAACCACTGGCCAACACTCGCCCCTTAGAAGGGCACCTTTTCAATGGGGCAATTTGGCATAAGGCATCAAGGACTTCCAGAATGTTAATACCTGTTGACCCATTAATTCTACTTTCAGCAACTTATCCTGAGAGAATAACTTTTTACACACACCATCATATACAAGGATTATTTCTAGGACCAGGTGTTACTCATATTTACATATCAAGTGTCATTTGTAGGCTCAGAAGGGGTGGTGCCCTAACCGTTCCTAACACGAGGGGATTTTTACATAATTGCTGACTCATTTATGTAGAATATGGTGCACATATTAAAAATAATGATTTTAAAGCAGTTTTAATCCTCAATGAGAAACTGTCCATGGTACCATACCAATAAAGCAAAATAACACAGATGACTCATTCAGAACACTCCAATTTGCTGTGGCTATTTTCTAAAGGACCATATACCTATGTAGTTATAGAATGGTTGTGGAGATAAATAAGATTATATAAGACATATGAAGATGTTGATGGCAGTCCTCTCTCAGTGGTAGTACTAAGAATAATTTTTATTTTATTTTCATATTTTTTTCTTAATTTCCCTTAGTCTCTCCTGTGGTCAGGTCCTAATTCTAAAGTCTGTTTGAGGGGATTTTATATACATATCTAATATATACACGTATACCCATATATAATCATATGTATTATACATATACACATATCTATACCTATATATACTCAAGGGAGATATCTATCTATATTTATAGATAGATTTAAATAAATATTTTTAAGGAATTTGTGGCAAACTCTGGTCATAAGAAGCATCTTCCCCTGTCACCGTAGAGAAGCCCCCCAGAAGGATGAGTGGTTTGGCTGTAGAGGGGCTGATAAAATGCCTTCTTAACATACGACTGCTGTTTCTTTGCACTAAGACCCTGCCCCAGCTTCTCATCTGTATGTCCCCTCCAGTTTTCAGGAGAGTGGACTCTCTCTCGGAAGATATGTCCCTGGCGCAGGCCATTTATGACAAGAAGCTTATGTCTATGCAGGAAAACCTCCAAGGACTGGGTAAGTATCCAGTGTCCAGATGCACTAATGTCTGTGATGGAAGACCATGGTCAGTTGGGGTGGGGTGAGGGCCTCCCCCAATTCATGGTACCCAGAGCAGGGCAGCTTTTACCAACCTTCTAGACATAATGGAAGGACGTCCATGGCTCCCTGCTTCCTGTCCAGCTGGGGAACCATCTGCTCAAAGAGAGCTGCTACCCTGGGATATGCCCAGGACTGGGGCCAGGGCTTCAGTGTGCAGGACAGTTCCAGCCAGAGCCTCCAGGCAGAGAAAGAAGCCAAAGACAGTCCAGTTCCCAAATGCCCTCTCCTGCCTGAAATGACTTTTTAAGACCTTCCAAACCCTCTTGACAAGTCAGTCTTTCCCTCATTACTGCCTGTAAGTGTGCGCAATTCAGGATACTCTCTCCTGCTCTCCACGGCCATTCTCATTCTCGTATCTCATGTTTGAACATGGACTCCTAATAGAAGGTGGTCTGTTCTGACGGAAAGAGAAAGTTCTGTTCTGCCGCCAAGTAGCTGAGTGATATTTGGCAGACCACTTCTCTGTGCCTCAGGTCTCATTAGTTAAAGGGAGAAAAACCCCTACGCCATCTTCTCCGTAAGTTTATTGTAAGACAATCAAATCAAATAACAGATATAAACATATTTGGAGATATTTTTAAATAGATTATAAGTAGGAGGTTCTTGGCAACCTCAGAAAAAGTATAAAGATATATCCTTGAGAATTTGGTGGTGAAATGGAACAAATGTCCTAAGTCCTACATTTCGGGACATAGTAAGTCCATTTGGTGATAATAAGATTTCATAGAGTTGGCAAAGCTTTGCAGAGCAGGACTTAGGAAGGAAGAGGGATCAGAAGCCACGTGCCAACTCATTATGCTCTAAAATATTTAATTGAAAGAAGTAACCTTCGTCCAGTGTTCTTCAGCAACTCAAAATGTTGTTCCTTTCTCCTGAAGATGTGAAAGCCCCGAACAACTGCTCTTTCTGCCACGAGGCTGGGCAGCTGGAGCAAGAGATCAGAAAGCTGCAGGAGGAGCTGGAGGGCATTCAGAAGATGCTTCTGGCACAGGAGGTCCAGCTGGACCAGACCTCCCAGACCCATGAGCTGCTCTCCACCACCAGCAGTCAAATCTCCCAGGAGATGGGCAATTGTTCCTTCTCCATCCATCAGGTCAACCAGTCTCTGGGGCTGTTTCTGGCCCAGGTGAGAGGCTGGCAGGCCACCACATCCAGCCTGGACCTCTCTCTGAAGGACCTCACCCAGGAGTGCTATGACACCAAGACCGCAGTGCACCAGATCAACTTCACCGTAGGGCAGACTTCGGAGTGGATCCATGGGATCCGGCGGAAGACAGATGAGGAGACCCTGACCCTCCAGAAGATGGTCACTGACTGGCAGAACTACACCCGGCTCTTCAGCAGCCTGCGCACCATCTCAGCTAAGACCGGAGAAGCAGTCAAGAACATCCAGGCCACCCTGGGGGCCTCCTCGCAGCGCATCAGCCAGAATTCGGAGAGCATGCATGACCTGGTGCTGCAGGCCATGGGCTTGCAGCTGCAGCTGGATAACATCTCCTCCTTCCTAGATGACCACGAGGAGAACATGCACGACCTGCAGTACCACACCCACTACGCCCAGAACCGCACGGTGGAGAGGTTCGAGACCCTGGAAGGGCGCATGGCTTCTCATGAGATTGAGATCAGCACCATCTTCACCAACATCAATGCCACTGACAACCACGTGCATAGCATGCTCAAGTACCTGGACGACGTACGGCTCTCATGCACACTGGGCTTTCACACCCAGGCCGAGGAGCTCTACGACCTGAACAAGTCTGTTTCCCTCATGCTGGGCGCCACAGAGCTGCTCCGAGAGCGCTTCAGCCTGCTCAGTGCCCGGCTGGACTTCAATGTCCGCAACCTCTCCGTGATCATGGAGGAGATGAAGGCTGTGGACACGCGGCATGGAGAAATCCTTCGAAATGTCACCATCCTACGAGGTAAGAGTCAGAGCTGGGCTGGAGTGCTGTGAAGCTCCCCGAGGGCCTTCGTGATCTTGCCTGTCACAAAAGTACCTGGTTTTAGGTAAAAACCTTAGTGGGCTAATACAATCTTATTGCAAATGCCTAGGACAACTGGCAGTTCAAGAAACATTTGCAAACCTCTTTGTTATGGCTCCCAATTTTGCTGTCATACGAATATGGGTTTTTATATATGGATTTGTTTAATTGGGTCCATCTAGAGAAATAAGCAGACCTCAACTTTGGAAATTCTGTCTCCTCTCCTTTTCTCCCTTCCCACTGCCTCATTGGTGCTGTCAAGCATCTGCTCCTCAGATGCCTATCTTCTCCTCCCATTTCACCCCTGTACTATTCAGGGCTCTTCAGGGAAACAGAAGCAATAGGGGAGAGAGAGAGGTGATAAGGAATTGGCTTGTGTGGTTAAGGAGCCTGGCAAGCCCCAAATCTGCACAGCTGATGCGAGTCTGAAGGCTGGATGCTGCTATAGAACTAGCAGGAGATGATGAATCACTTGAAAGGCCATCAGGCAGAATTCTCTCTCACTCAGGGGAAGGGCAGCCTTTTGTTCTATTTAGACCTTCAACTGATTGGATGAGGTCCACCCACACTGGGGAGGACAATCTGTTTCATTCAGTATCAATTTAAATATTCAATCTCATTTATAAACACTCCTGAAGACACACCCAGAATAATGTTGGGCCAAATATCTGGCCACCTGTGGCTGAGTCAACCTGACACATAAAATTAACCATCACAAATCCACCCTCGTCCACCTGGGACCCAAACACATCTCCTTGAAGCATACTTAACCCCAGGTGAAGACAGCAACAAGGTCATTAACTCTGCTTAATGTACGTGATGCAACTATCCTGTGTGCAAACAGAAATGCACTAACCCTTCCCCAGAAGAGGCGGTAAAGTCCTTGAGTGATGTTTACTCTCCTTCTGGATATCCTATAACTTACAGGCTATGATATAAAATTAACAATATTTAAATACTGTGCTGTAAAGTCAATACATTTTATATTTTATGTTAGATGATAAGAGGATAAGAGAGGGAAGAAAACAAAGATATTTTATATATATACATGTATATATGAATATATATATTCACAATACAATAAGAAGGGAATACTCTTGACAATTACAGCGTTCCTTTCTGTAGCAGGTCACATGGTCAGAGTTGGCGTTTTAACCACCTTCTTCCACTACCCATCCGATAGTCTCTGTGCCCTCAGCTGGCTGTGATTCTATTCTTTACCTGGCAGGGTGATCTGAACCTTTATTCACCATCAGTAATCCTGCCTGTTTGGGCTGCTGTAGTTTTCCACTGACTTTAATCTCAGGTCATAGTGATACTGAGAAACACCCTAAGTGACCTCCTGTATTCCGGACATACTTTTCCTTACCTTCGTTGCGGAGCAGCCATCCAGTTTCTCCTTGGTGGTCAGGATTGGTTGCCCCCATCAGCACATTAACTTCTTCTTTGCCTGTTAGTAAGGAACCCAAAGTGCCCAGGCAGCCGGCTTAACTTCCCGTTCAGTGGAGTCGTTGTGTCTCCTGGCGGAAACACCCTTCCCTCTGGAACTAAGAGCTCTAAACCAGCAGAGTGTCAGGTGCTGGAAGTGAGAAGCAAAAATTTTGCTCGTGGGTCACCAGGGGTAATAGTAGCGCCTCTCCCATTTCCACCCCTTGACCCCTCAACCCACAAATCCTGGCTATCAGAGAATCAGCACCATATATTAGATGCTGATTCAGAGTACATACAGCCCTGCAAGGTACTGCCACCTAACTGGCACTGTCACTGGGCCTTTAAAACACCATTCCATCCTCCTTCGAGCCAGATCTTCAAGATGGTGGAAAACATGGTCAGACCAGTGAATTCCACGGGCCTGGGCCCAGTGCCCCACTTCATTTCCTGTGAAGTGAGTCCCTTGACCAGAAGCAATGCTGTGCAGAATACTGTGATGGTGGATAATGCATTCTGTAATACCAAATGCATACATGGTATTTTTGGCAGAAGCATTGCATGCAGAAAGGTAAATCCATGTCCAGAGTAAGTCTCTGTTCCAGTAAGAACTCAGCCCCTTCCATGATGGAAATGGCCCAGTGTAATCAGCCTGCCCCCGGGTAACTGGCTGACCACCCCAGGAACGGTGCCATGTTGGGGACTCACTGTTGGTCTGTGCTGTGGGCAGGCTGGGCGCCCGGCTGTGGCTGCAGCCAGGTCAGCCCTGGTGACTAGCAGTAGTCTGTGTTGCTGACCCTGTGCATAACCGCCATCCCTACCACCATGGCCACTTTGCCCATGAGCCCACTGGGCGATGGCAGGGGTGGCCGGGGAAGAGGCCGACTGGAGACCACAGAACAGGTCATTCTATCCACTTGATTATTACAATCTTCCTCTGCTGAGGTCACCCTTTGGTGAGCATTATACAGGACACAAATATCCTTACATTGTTTGCCCTTTCTAAGGGGACTATTCACATATCTCTTCACCAAATTTCCTCGTAACTAATTTTCCAATCACATTCCTTCCATGTCCCCAACCTTCCAGCCAAACCATTGTCCAGAGCTCACAAGTTGGCGTAAAATCACGTGTCTGACCATTTTTCCTTCCAAGCAAACAGAACAGCCAAGTCCACTGCCAGGAGTTGTGCCCACCGGGAGGATTTCCCTCACCACTGTCCTTCAGGGATGGCCCAGCGAGGGCTGTGGGGCTTCAGCTGTCCGCTTTATTGCAGTGCTTGTGTATCGTGCAGAACCGTCTGTGAACCAGGCCTCCTGTTCCTCTGCCAAGCGATCACAGGGAGCTCCCCATGAGACCGCGGTTTCAGGCTGGGAGAGAGAAGGACGTGTAACAGCAGTGGGGAGCATGGGCATTTGGGTAATGTAGCACTTCCCGTGGTACCTGCTGGGTCCTCAGGGCCTGCTCAGGCCCAATCCCTTACATGTCATGTCCATTTGATGATGGGGTGTGGCTCTGCATGCCGAACTTAGAAATGGTGTGGTGGGTCAGAGAACACCCAGTTCATGACCCATCTCAGGTCACATGGTAACTTGGTGGCCTGTGGCTAAGCGTTCGGTCTCTACTCAGGTCCAGTCACAGCTAAGAGCTGTTTCTCAAAAGGAGAGTCGTTATTCAGAGGATGGCAGAGTTTAGCTCCAAAATCCACAGGGCCTGTGCTTCAGTTCACTTGTAGAGGCCTGCCAAGGGCCCCAGAGGGCACCCCTTCCTGCCACGGCCTCTTCATGCATCACTGGGCCTGCAGGGTCATATGGCTCAGGGGGCAGAGCAGCTGGCACAGCAGCCGGGACCTGCTGTAGAGCCTTCCCTTGTTCTGGGCCTCACCCCAAACCAGCAGCTGTTTGGGTCACTTGGTAAATGGGCCAGAGTAACACCCCCAAATGAGGATATCATGCCTCTAAAACCCAGAGGCCCACTAGGTGTGGTGCCTCTTTCTTGGTTGTAGGAGGGGCCCAGATGCAACAATTCATGCTTTACCTTAGATGCGATATGTCCACATGCCCCACCTGCTGGACCCCTTGAAATTTTCACTGAGTTACAAGGACCCCAAATTTTCATTGTAGTTATTTCCCACCCTCTGACACGCAAAAGGTCTTACAGATAGTTCCAGCTATTACCATAGTGAGTTCCTACTTACTTGCTCACGAGGTCCAATCAGCATAATGTCACCAGTGCAATGGCCAGAGTTAAAGAAAAAGGAGATCAAGTCCCCTGTGAACTGAACTCTGATGTAGATCCAGAGAATCCATCTGCACCTGTGATAAGACAGGGAGGGTGTAATACTGGCCCTGCCGGCTGAAAGCAAACTGCATCGGGCAGACCCTGTGGACAGGTATGGGCCACACAGCACTTGTCAGATCAGTAGTGGTGTCCCAGGGGATGTGTTCATGTTCTCAAGCAGGGGAACCACATCTGGTGTGTCAGCTACAATTGAAGTTACCTCCTAGTTAAGCTTAATCACTGTCATTTTCCAAGATCGACCAGTCTTCTGCACAGGACAGAGGCAAATTGAATGGGGCATGTGGTGGGAATCGCCACCGTGGGACCCTTTAGTCCTTGGCGGGGGCACGGATCCCTCCAGTCCCTCCCGGGATAGTGCTGCTGTGGTTTACCATTTTCCTAGGTAGGGGCAGTTTGTGGCTTCCATGTGGCCTTTCCCATCATACTACCCCTCACTCCATGGGTCAGGGAACCACGGTGGGGATTCTGCCAGTGCTAAGTGTGTCTATTCCAACTGTACACCCAGATCTGGGGAATAACCCCCGGGTGAAGTCAGGGGTGCCCCGTGAGGCGGCCTGAGCTAAGACCCCGCTGATGGCCTGCCCGCCATAAGCCCCCTGCTCTGACTGGTGGACAGGGCAATGTGGCACCTTCTGGTGTCAGTGTCAGTTCAGCACCTGTGCCCAGTACCCCTCAGAAGGTGCGATTATTTCCTTTTCCCCAGTGCAGTCACCCTGGTGAGAGGCCACAGTCTCTCAGGACGGCTGGGACGATGATGAACAGTGTGAATATCTGGCAGTGAACGGGGTCCTTTGTCAAAGAGACCTGGCCCCCCTTCACTCAAGGGGTTCTGGGTCTGTAAACTGGCTCAGGTCTGAGAGTTTATTAAGGGCCATGGCTCTGTTTTTATTATTCAGGTTAGACTTTTGTTCACGTGACCTAGATCTTTCTGCTCATACAAGTAAGGATTTAGTAGGAATTTAGGAATTCAATAATTCCTCTCTATTTTACTAGTAGGAACAGCAGGATCAGCTGGCCAATGCCCAGGCCCGTGGGCGTCAGCCTGTTCGGTGGGCGGCTCTGACTCTGCTGCCCATCGCAGCAGCCACGCCCTCTTTGCCTTTGGTAGCGGGCTGCTGTCACTTGGCCCCTGCCGCCCCGGAATCTGATTACTCTCATCGTGGTTAGGCTCCCCAGTCAGGGACTGCAGTGCCCACTGCACCGTCGGGCCTGCAGAGAAGAATGCTCCCAGAGCTCTTCACGG